AGAATATAGCACTTGGTATGATACCTTTTCTAAATATGGATTTAAATTACCTGATACTTAGTACTGACTAATACTGGCATCAAATTTTCACTCACTTTACTGTTCCAATATAGATTAAGCAACAGTATCGTATTTGCTTCATAAAAGTAAGAATTTTTTCCTTGAAGGCCTTAGAGCATTGGGACTAATGTTTTTATGTTTCCATTTATACTTTTTACCCAACTCCTTATTAATGTTTTTAAATCTGAGTCACACTTATATATGCCTTTCTCATTCTAAAAGGTTAATAGGTTTTAAAACATATTTTAGATTCAGTCTATCTATTTTTCTATCTGTTTGGATATATATAGAGATATATAAAATATACATTTTTCTTATTTTACTTATTTTTTTTGAGACAGGGTCTTGCTATGTTGTCCAGGCTGACTTTGAACACACATTTAGCCCAAACTGATTTCAAATTTATAATGATCTTCCTGCCTCAGCCTCCAGAGTGCTTGGGATTACAGGCATGTGTCACCACAACTGCTATATTTCTAATTATACATATTTTGTTGTTAGCTATATTATGGGATGCATTTTCCTAGTTATTGTTTTTTTTTTTTCTTTTTGGGGGAAGCGGGGCTTGAACTCAGACCCTTGTGCTTGCCAGGGAAGCATTTTTTCTACTGAGCCATCTCCCTAGCCCCTTCCTATTTACTGTTTAGAAACTGGAAAAGAGAGCTGGGTAGTCTGGGACCACAGCCCTAGCACTGGGGAGGCTAACACAAAGATTACTTAAGCTCAGGAGTTTGAGACCAAGCTGGATAACAGATACCCTGTCTAAAAAGAAAAAAGTTGAGAAAGTATTAGTTGGAAAGGAGGTTGGTCATTCCTCTTTTTTTCTGTTAGTTGCTCTGGTTATTTAAAAACCCTTATTTACTCTGTGTTTTGTGGTACCAGGGATTGAACCTAGGGCCTTGACGTTGAGCTACATTTCCAGTACTTCTTAGCTCTTATCTGAGGCAAGGTCTCAGTAAATTGAGCGGCTCAGCTGCCTGGTAGGGCCTGGGCTTGCGAGCTTCATGCCTCAACCTCCCACAGGGCTGATTCCAAGCAGGAGCCATGATGGGCAGCTCCCATTTTTATTATCTCCTTTGCAGAATTCTTTTCTTCTCAGTGTTATGCACAAGCTTCCCACTGCCTACACCTGAGCAAGCCTCTTTTCTCCTCCCACCTTTCTAGCTGTAGCATTATACTCTGTTACAATATATAAACTTGTACGTTAGATGTCTGCCGAAAATTTCTGAGCCATCAATCTGAAATGGCAGCGGTACAGGAATGATCCTCATTCTTGCATATTTAAAGGTGTTTTGTGCTATTTTTCCTAGCGCTTTGACACTTGAAGGATATGGCAACTAACTGGACACAAAATTCTGTTCACACCTTGAGTTTTCCCAGAAAGAGGATGCTACACTGTAGCCCTGTTTTCTAAGCCAGCTTCGCAACAATGCTTTGTGGAAATTGCCTTTCCTTTAGCTATTCTTTCTGCTCAGAGGGCTTGATGACTTTACCTTTTTTTCTGAAATGTGACAGCTTCATTAAGCTGTCTCTCAAAGTGGACATGTCTGTTAATTTTTGCAGGTACCCAGGAAGCCTTTCAAGTTCCAGATCTAGTTTTTTCTACTCCTAGATTTTTGGGGCTTTTTGGGACAGATTCTCCCTGTGTAGTTCAGGCTGATATAGAATTTTGGGCGATCCTATCTCAGCCTCCCAAGTGCAGGGATTACAGGTCTGCACTACCACATCTAGCTTTGAAAACTTTTGGTTGCATTTTAAAATATTAATTCTGCTCCACACCTTCATTTTCCTGACAGTCTCTATGTTCTTTGCCTATCTTCCATTCCCAATACTTTCTGATTCATTTTACTTTATTTTTTTCTGCATTTTAGGGAAGGGTCTACAGGGTGCTCGGGGTCTCACTACAGATCAGACTCATAGTGATCTGCCTGATTACAGCCTCCCAAGAGTTGGGATTACAGGTGCGTACCACCAGACCCAGTCTCAATCACTGGCTCAGTGCACCCCGGGGGCGGGGACCCCGGAGCAAGTCTGGAGATGGAACCCCCAGCCCCTGCACCTGCTTGCAGGTGCTTTAATTCACTGAGCTATTTGACCAGCCCTTAACTTTCCTTTTTAAATGTCCTTTCCAATTCTTTCAGTTGCCTTCTGCCTTTTTTTTTACTGCCTTTTATTTTTATTTTATTTTATTTATTTTTTTACTGCCTTTTAAATCCATCATAATTTATTTACTTATATAATTTATCTTGTCTTTTCTCCTATTTCTTTCTTCTACTTCATAAATTTTATTTTCATTTCTCCTTTATCATTTCCACTTTGTTTTAAAATTTCTAACTTAAGGGCTGGTGAGATGGCTTAGTGGTCTAAAGCACTTACCTAGAACAAGCTAAGCTAAAGCACAGGGACCGCGGTTCAATTCCCCAGCACCACATGCCAGCCAGCCCAGCCCCCTGGTGGGCTGAGCTGGCCACACACACACACACATACACACACACACACACACAAATAAATAAAATTTAAAAAAAAAATTCTAACTTAAGATGTTTTCATATCGTCAAATGTTTTGTTTGGCTACAGTTAATTCTGTCTGGAGTGTAAACATAGATTTTCTTGTTTCCTGGTTATTTTCTGGAGAGAAGGAAGTAGTCTTACAAACTGACCTGTATAAACAGTTGCTTCCTGGTTTTCTACAATAAATTCTCCTTGGATTTTATTTTTGCCTGTTTATTTTCGTAATACCTGGAAGTGGTGGTAGTAATTTGCATGATTCCCAACTTACAGTCCTCTGTCATTCTAGCAAAGCGTAGACACGCTATTAAGAGCTCAGTTTTTTAAAAGCTAGAGTTTTAATCATGGAATAAGAGTTGCAAATCCTCTAATTTTGTAGTTCTCCTTTTCTTGCCTACAGAAGTGAGCAGAATAAGTAAAATAAACTAAAATTGCTAGTGATTACAAAGGAGCTGCAGCTTTTAGGAAACAGGTAGTAGGTAACAACTTACTATTCCTGGGATCAAAAGATTTCAAAAGGGGCCGGGGAGATAGCTCAGTGGAATAAGCACTTGCCTGGCAAGCGCAAGGGCCTGAGTTCAATCCCCAGTTCTGAAAGAAAAAAAAAAAAAAAAGATTTCAAAAGTGCTCAAGTGAGAACACATGTTCAGGAGCTGAAACCAAGTGCAGTCAGGCTGGCCCATTTCACGGGAAGCTACAGATCAGTAAGACCCCTCCCACAGAGCCGCTGGGAAGCGCCGAAGGACTCAGGACCTCAGCCTGAGGGACAGAGGAAGATCTCAAGCAAATTCCAACTCAGATCCACATCTTAGGCAAATCTAACTGAGCAACAACAGTTATAAGACACTCACTGAGGCCACACAACAGGGCAGACTCAAGGACAAGTATGACTTTCAGGGAGCCCTAAAGCTCACTTCAGACCCACCGTGTGAGCAGAGATTCTGAAGAGAGGCGATGGTGGAAATCTGAACAATCTTAAGGATGCAGAGGACATGCACATCCTGAGCCACTTGAAAAAGTGGCTGAAAATCAATCTGGAAAAGCAGACCTGGGATATGTGGAAGGCTTAGCACTGTAGGTAAGTTAGAAGAAGAAAAGACAGGACCTGGGGAGACAGGAACACTTCCTAGCACTCCAGATGTTGCTAATGTTAATGTCTGTGGTGCAAATCAGGAATAAATTTGCTAGCTATTATGAAAGAAAACCAAGGTCAGGATGAGAGGAGGAGGGCAGAAGGGTGGGCTCTGGGTGACAGAACACAGCTGAGAAGGTACAAAGCCAGTGGACTGTAAGCCAAAAGTACACATTTCATCCTTATACACGCAAGTTCTCTACGGTCTGTCACACAGCAACCCTCCTCAAAATGTGGCTGGCAGAGTAGTATCTCTGTGAGCTGTTACCCAACATGCAAGAAAATGAGATTAAGCATTTAGAAATTTTCTTTACACTTTGACGGTATCTTTTCTGCCTACTGAATTTCACAGCAATACTGGACTTACTCTGTGTTTGATTTTTTTCTACTGATTCATTTTTATACTGCTGTACAAAAATATGAAACTGTCAATGATGAAAAATTAAAAAACAAAAGCAAAACTGGCCCTTTTCCACAGAGAAACACCACCAGAATATTAGCTTACACCCCAAATCTAAGTAGATTAACTCTGCCTTTGTAAACATTCAAAGTAAACACAAGCCAGACATGGTGGCGCAGGCCTGAGGTTCCAGCACAGACAGGCTGAGCAGGAAGACAGCAGGCTCAAGTCTAGCCCAGGAAATGCAGTGACTTTAGACCCTGACTCAAAAGAAACAATGAAAAGGGCAGGAAATGTAGTTTAATACAAAGACCCTTTTCTTTAAAAAAATAGGTGTACAAATGTGAATATGGATTGGCTATGAGGTTGAAAATTTTTACTTTTAAGTCTAATAATACCAACCAGATTATCCAGCAAAATGCTTTTAGGAGTTCTATGTTGGACTACTTAAGGATAAATTATTATGATGCTTACGATTACTGGACAGTACTGCAAGAGAAAAAGACAGCTGCATCTCATACTTATCCAGATAAGGAAAATAGGGCCAAATATTAAAAACAGTTGAACTTAAGGGACGGGCATATGGAGAAGCATACTATACTTCCAAATTTTCAAAATGTAATGTTCAAAACCAAGTTTAACTACCACATGGAATGGCAGTGTAATTCAGTAGGGGTTAGCATGTACAAGGCCCTGGGTTGGGCTCTGATACCAAAAATTAAATAAGCAACATCCTTGCCACTGAGGAGGCTGAGGCAGGAGGATCACCGAAAGTTCAAGATCTGCCTGGGCTACATAATGAGTTTGTGGCCAGCCTGAGCAGCAGAGGGAGACCCTGTCTCCAAACAAGACACTCCCCAAATAAATAACATAACATAACCAAAGCAAAATCATCCCAACCTCAAAGTCACCAGTTCCGTATCCTCTGGGATGACTTCGGGATCTTCACCTTCCTCAAGGCATTTCAATTTATCAAGGCTAAAACAAAGGAAAGAAAACACCATTTTCAGGTCAGCCATACATCTTGTCCCCAGAGAGCCACGGCTGCGTCAATACACCACCGAACAACTACGAAGTGGAATAAAACCCAGCGGGCGGCTTAGAGCTCGCCAAAGTACACGACGATGGGCAATTTGTATGGCCAATTGAAAGCGGCGAGGGCATTTAAACCGAGAAAGACCAGTTATTTTTGTTTCCCGCACACACGGCCCTTGGGGAAACCTGCAGCCCCAGCACGCTCGGAGGTCCCCTGAGGAGACCTCCGTCAGTCGGGCTCTCACGCCCTCGGATCGGGTGTCCTGCGGCGACAGCACCACCCGGGCCCTCCCCCGTCGAGGCGCCTGTCAAAGGCAGCCCCCCTCCCCGGCCGCCCGGCCCCCCTAACAAGCAGAACGGAACTAGAGAACAGAAAGCGCGGCCCCGGCGCTCCAACTCGCGGGCGGCGCGCTCGGCTCCCGGACGCCTCCCGGGAAGGCTCGCGCGCTCGGACGGTTTCCGGGAGCGGCTCCGCGCCCCGGGGCGCAGCCGCGGCCCCGCGGACGTCC